GATCAAGTATAATACATGGGATATAACCCTCAATTACTGTCAGGGTACTTGCGGACTCATACCAATTATAGTGATATTTCCCTGACAGGCCCCAGAGGAGCTGCAGCTTGGAGTTTCCCAACACTGAGAAACAAAGATATTTTCTTTATGGGAGGTTTCCTAATAGCATTTAAAATCTTTTAGTTTAAAATTGTCCTTTTTTTCCCCCATTTAGCTGTGGCAACTTTTATGCTTTATATAAAGACAAGCATTTAATTTGTATTGTTATAATTTAATATACTTTATTAACATACCAATTATAGTGAACCTTGTTTCCTAACAATTCAGCTACGTGGAGGAGATGATGTTTCAGAGTTGACTTACCCAGTAAAAATACTAGCCTTTGTTACTTTGTCTAACACTTTACTTAGCTTCTTCATTTTCAGTCTCCTCCCCATTCCAACTCCCTCTTCAATTATCTGTCACCTCTCCATTTCTTTCATTGTCTTATTGGAATTAATTCAAAATTGTTTTACTCTTTTTGAAACTTTCTACAAATATAAGAAAAATAACCCCTATCTGATCTAATTTCCACTGATTTCCTTTGCCTTCTAACTCTAGAGTGACAGTTTTGGCCTCTTCAATGCTCCCTCCCGACACCTGAAGAAAGAACATTGCTCTTTAACTTGTACTGTTTTATTTGAATGCAACCCACTTCCTCCCTCTGAGCCAATGAGTCATTTTCTCTTTTTAAAGTCAGCCTTAAAAATCTTCCATTTCTCTTCGGTTTAAAATTATTCTCTTTGTGAAGCACTTCATGTCCTGTGTATGAAAGTCACCCCATAAAACAGATGATTGCCTTAACCACTCAACGACTATACTATAGACACTATAGACAATGTGTGACTTACCAAGACTAAACTTTTGAGTTGAACGGACATCATTTATTTTCCTTCTTTCTTTTTTTTATTTTTGAGACAGAGTCTCACTCTGTCACCCAGGCTGAAGTGCAGGGGTGAGATCTCAGCTCACTGTAACCTCCCCTGCCGGGTTCAAACCATTCTTATGCCTCAGCCTCCTGAGCAGCTGGGATTACAGGCACACGTCTTTACACCCGGCTAATTTTTATATTTTTAGTAGAGATGGGGTTTCGCCATGTTGGCCAGGCTGGTCTCGATCTCCTGACCTCGTGATCTACCTGCCTTGGTCTCCCAAAGTGCTGGATTACAGGAGTGAGCCACCGCACCCAGCCACAATAATTTTTTTTTTGAGACAGCTTCTCACGCTCTTGCCCAGGCTGGAGTGTAGTGGTGCAAACATGGCTCACTGCAGCCTTGACCTCCCAGGCTCAAGCAATCCTCCTGCCTCAGCCTCCTCGCAAGTAGCTAGGACTACAGGCATTTGCCACCATGCTTGGCTAATTTTTTTATTTTTTGTAGAGATAAGGTCTCTCTATGTTGCCCAGGCTCCTGGGCTCAAGCAGTCCTTCTGCCTCAGCCTCCCAAAGTGCTGGGATTACAGGTGTGAGCTACCATGCTTGGCCGAGGCCAGGATTTTTGTCTTTTTTGTTCACTAGTGAATTCTCAGAATATTGTTACATAGTAGATTTTCAATAAATATTCATTGAGTGAATAAATGATTGATTTCCCCTCCTCAATCTTTTAAATTGCTTAATACCATTTGAGTAGTTAATATTTTTCATAAGAATCTCTTGTAACTAAGTAGAAAATACTCATAAAATGGTCTTGAGGCCAAGCGCGGTGGCTCATGCTTGTAATCCCAGCACTTTGGGAGGCTAAGGCGGACGGATCACGAGGTCAGGAGATTGAGACTATCCTGGCTAACTCGGTGAAACCCCATCTCTACTAAAAACACAAAAAATTAGCCTGGCGTGGTGGCAGGCACCTGTAGTTCCAGCTACTAGGGAGGCTGAGGTGAGAGAATGGCGTGAACCCGGGAGGCGGAGCTTGCAGTGAGCCGAGATCGTGCCATTGCACTCCAGCCTGAGTGACAGAGCGAGACTCCGTCTCAAAAAAAAAAAAAAAAAAAAAGGGGGCCTTGAAAAGTGATAGATAGATATCAAACTGCAAAAGATTAAGCAAAAGGTTAAGGGTAAGTTTGGAAAATGCCTAAAGAGAGACACATTCATTTCAATACAATTTACAGAATTTACTCCAGCATATCAAATATCTTTTTATATATATATATGTCAATGATTCATTTAATCTGCTACCACACGATGTATTGCTTCTGTTTTAAAGTAATAGCACTTTGTATTGCAACCATCAGAGTAATAATTAATTTATTCTAATTTAGGCAAGAATCTTCAATGGATGCGAATATAAATACATGAAAGCTGATTGCAGAGGAAGATATTTACACAGTCTCAAATTATCACCCCACAAATTACTAATTAAATGCAAAACGGAATTTTTGTAATTTTCTTTTACAATGGAGACCTCATGTGAATATCATTTTAATCATATGATCAGAATTAATATCACTAATAATGGGACAAACTGCCATCATGTGCCTCCTGATATGATATACTGAGAAGAGCTTAATATTGCTTATGTAGTTTTCCTGTCAAAATGTTTAACATTTTAAATAATGAAGAAAAAAATCAACTTCAAATTGAGGGACATTGCAAAACAGCCTGTGTTCTACAAAAATGTCAGTGCCACAAAAGTCTAACAAAGTGGCCGGGCGCGGTGGCTCAAGCCTGTAATCCCAGCACTTTGGGAGGCCGAGACGGGCGGATCACGAGGTCAGGAGATCGAGACCATCCTGGCTAACATGGTGAAACCCCGTCTCTACTAAAAAATACAAAAAACTAGCCGGGCGAGGTGGTGGGCATCTGTAGTCCCAGCTACTCGGGAGGCTGAGGCAGGAGAATGGCGTAAACCCGGGAGGCGGAGCTTGCAGTGAGCTGAGATCTGGCCACTGCACTCCAGCCTGGGCAACAGAGTGAGACTCCATCTCAAAAAAAAAAAAAGTCTAACAAAGTTTGAAGAGCTGTTCTGATTAAAGGAGACTAAAGAGACATGACAGTTACACGCAGTGCAAGTTCTTTAATTGATCCTGAATTGAATGCAAAACAAAAAAACCCCAACAACTATAAAGGACATTATTGGAGCAATTGGAGACACTTGAATACAATTGTATATTAGATAACATTATTATGCCAATGTTAGAATTTCTGAATGTGATAATTGTATTGTGGCTATGTAGAAGAACATCATTCTTAGAAGAGATATGCTGAAGTATTAAGAGGTGAAGTGTCATAATGTCTGCCAATAATTTCCAGTGGTTCAGAAGAAACTTCTCAAATGACTCAACAAAAAATACATATACAGGCTGGGCGTGGTGGCTCACACCTGTAATCCCAGCACTTTGGGAGGCTGAGGTGGGTGAACCACCTGAGGTCAGGAGTTCGAGACCAGCCTGGCCAACATGGTGAAACCCTGTCTCTATTAAAAATTAAAAAATTAGCCAGGCATGGTGACCCTCCAGCTACTCGGGAGGCTGAGGCAGGAGCATCACCTGAGCCTGGGAGGCAGAGGTTGCAGTGAGCAGAGATGGTGCCACTGCATTGCAGCTTGGGTGACAGAGTGAAACTTTGTCTCATAAAAAAAAAAAAGAAAAAAGAAAAAGAAAACATTTTTAAAAACCATTATCATGAATTTAGATTTGTTTTGCTTTGTTTGAGACAGTCTTGCTCTGTCTCCCAGGCTGGAGTGCAGTGGTGTGAATTTAGGATTATTGTGATTGCTTATTCAGACACATAATGCTCAAAATTTGTTATGGTGGCAACAAACCTTTCTTTGATTTTTCTATTTTTATTATCCTACTTTAGCTCTCTGTGTCTTTCTATTCACTGCCGTGTTTCAGAGCCATCGATGGTTATGCCATGTGCACAACACTTCAACAAATTCTGAATATGCCTAATGTGAACTGAAGTTCTTTTTCTTCAAACAGGAGACTTCTCCCATAGGGCCTCTGATAAATATATCTCATATATATCCTGTAGAATGATGACTTTTTTGTTTTTATGTATGGTTTTTATTGCACTGATAAGCTGCAATATTAGTTTTTATTTCCCTAGGATCTATTTCTTATCGTCCTCCCATACCCCTTTAGCCCTAGACCAAAGAGAAGCCCAAAGTACTGCTGAAAATGATTAAAGTATCGCTTTATTCTATAAAGAACTAGAGAAAAATAGATTCTGGATATCAAGTGATATTTACAATTATGAAGTAATATACGCTGTGCAATACAGTGATTTTTTTTTTTTTTGAGATGGAGTTTTGCTCTTGTTGCCCAAGCTGGAGTGCAATGGCGTGATCTTGGCTCACTGCAACCTCTGCCTCCTGGGTTCAAGTGATTCTCCCACCTCAGCCTCCCGAATACCTGGGATTACAGGTGCATGCCACCACGCCCAGCTAATTTTTGTATTTTTAGTAGAGATGAGGCTTCACCATGTTGGCCAGGCTGGTCTCGAACTCCTGACCTCAGGTAATCCACCCATCTCGGCCTCCCAAAGTGTTGCGATTACAGGCGTGAGCCACTGCGCCCGGCAATAAAGTGATTTGTGATATATTTGTGTCCACATAAAGACTAATGATTTTGAAATTCTTTTCTTTCTTTCTTTTTTTTTTTTTTGAGATGGAGTCTTGCTCTGTTGCCCAGGCAGGAGTTCAATGGCACGATCTCGGCTCACTGCAACCTCCGCCTCCCACGTTCAAGTGATTCTTCTGCCTCAGCCTCCTGAGTAGCTGGGATTACAGGTGTGCGCCACCACACCCGGCTAATTTTTGTATTTTTAGTAGAGACATGGTTTCATTATGTTAGTCAGGCTGGTCTCAATCTCCTGACCCCGTGATCTGCCTGCCTTGGCGTGCTAAAGTGCTGGGATTACAGGCATGAGCCACTGTGCCCAGCCTTGAAATTATTTTCTGTTTTACCCTTAACCCTCTTTATGTTAACCTCTGTGAAATAAAAAGTAGAATATTGGGGCTTACGTCATAGTTGCTCCTGGATCGGCAGTCATTTGATTGGTGACAAAAACAGCCACATTATATTCTGTATCAAGAGATAAAATTTTAAAACTATGAGAAAGGCTATATATATATATATATTTATTTATTTATTATTTATTTATTTATTTTTGGAGACGGAGTTTCACTCTTGTTGCCTAGGCTGTAGTGCAATGGCGTGATCTCGGCTCACCACAACCTCCGCCTCCTGGGTTCAAGTGATTCTCCTGCTTCAGCCTCCCGAGTAGCTGGGATTAGAGGCATGCGCCACCACACCAGGCTAATTTTATATTTTTTAGTAGAGACGGGGTTTCTCCATGTTGGTCAGGCTGGTCTCGAACTCCCGAACTCCCGACCTCAAGTGATCCACTCGCCTCGGCCTCCCAAAGTGCTGGGATTACAGGCGCGAGCCAAGAAAGGCAATATAGATATTTAAAAGTTCATCGTTTAGATTTTAGAGTTTAGGAATATTGCATCATGAATTTATTTTATAAATAACATCATATTCCTATTTTTCATTGACAACAAAAATTATTTGTTATTATTATTATTAAGGTTAGAATAAATATTTTTGGGCCGGGCACGGTGGCTCAAGCCTGTAATCCCAGCACTTTGGGAGGCCGAGACGGGCGGATCACGAGGTCAGGAGATCGAGACCATCCTGGCTAACACGGTGAAACCCCGTCTCTACTAAAAAAAATACAAAAAACTAGCCGGGCGAGGTGACGGGCCGCCTGTAGTCCCAGCTACTTGGGAGGCTGAGGCAGGAGAATGGCGTAAACCCGGGAGGCGGAGCTTGCAGTGAGCTGAGATCCGGCCACTGTACTCCAGCCCCGGCGACAAAAAAAAATAAATAAATAAATAAAAATAAAGAATAAATATTTTTGGTTTAAAAAAACAGTTGTAAAGCTGGGTGCAGTGGCTCATGCCTGTAATCTCAGCACTTTGGAGGTTGAGGTGGGCAGATCATGAGGTCAGGAATTTGAGACCAGCCTGGCCAACGTGGTGAAACCCCATCTCTACTAAAAATACAAAAAATTGGCCAGACATGATGGCAGGTGCCTATAATCCCAACTACTCAGGAGGCTAAGGAGTAAGAATCGCTTGAACCTGGGAGGCGGAGGTTGCAGTGAGCTGAGATCGTGCCACTGCACTCCAGCCTGGGCAACAGTGCGAGACACTGCCTCAAAAAGAAAAAAAAAAAAAAAAGAGTTGTATTCTCATGAAGGTAATTTTATTAAAAAAAAAAAAAAAAAAAAAAAACCACTGCCTCCTGACATTATATTCCAAGCTTCTCTGCAAAGTATACTTGACAAACATAGTCACAGATGCCATTTTATTTTAAAGATATACCTTCTGAGATTTTTTGGAGTCGTGACAACATCTGGGCCAATTTTTGCTGCCGTTCGGCCAACTCTCCACGGCCACTGAAATCCACTCGAAAAAGTGCCATTATTGAATCGATAATCTACACAGGATTAAGGTAAAAATAAACATGCATTTGGAAATTGAAGGAAAACGTTATTTGAATAGAGATCAATAGAATAAAAATATTATGCTAAATAGCTCTGTGAAAGCAGTATTTAAAAGCTTGTACCAATAGTTTGAAGATGCCAGCTTCTTCATGGAACTTTGCTGCTACATAATCAAGTAGCTCCATCTGATGTTCACCTGGTGGGAAATGCAGTGAGAAAATGTTATAAAAGTTGAAAGAAGCAGAGGCTAAGATCATTCATATTCTTGGGAGCCAGGCAAAAGAAAGTCCTTGAAGAATTCTCTTATTTATTACTTTATTAAATATTATCGCAGCCTGGCATGGTGGCTCATGCCTGTAATCCCAACACTTTGGGAGGCCGAGGCGGGTGGATTTCTTGAGGTCAGGAGTTCAAGACCAGCCTGGCCAACATGGTGAAACCTTGACTCTACTAAAAAAATACGAAAATTAGGCCAGGCGCGGTGGCTCATACCTGTAATCCCAGCACTTTGGGAAGCCGAGGCAGGCGGATCATTAGGTCAGGAGTTCAAGACCAGCCTGGCAACATGGTGAAACCCTGTCTCTACTAAAAAAAGAAAAATACAAAAATTAGCTGGGCACGGTGGTGGGCGCCAGTGATCCCAGCTACTCGGGAGGCTGAGGCAGGAGAATCGCTTGAACCTGGGAGGCTGAGGCTGCAGTGAGCAGTGATTGCACCACTATGCTCCAGCCTGGGCGACAGAGCAAGACTCTATCTCGTTTAAAAAATATATATAATGGCCGGGTGCGGTGGCTCAAGCCTGTAATCCCAGCACTTTGGGAGGCCGAGTCAGGCAGATCACGAGGTCAGGAGATTGAGACCATCCTGGCTGACACGGTGAAACCCCGTCTCTACTAAAAAATAGAAAAAACTAGCCGGGCGAGGTGGCGGGCGCCTGTAGTCCCAGCTACTCGGGAGGCTGAGGCAGGAGAATGGCGTAAACCCGGGAGGCGGAGCTTGCAGTGAGCTGAGATCCGGCCACTGCACTCCAGCCTGGGCGACAGAGCGAGACTCCGTCTCAAAAAAAAAATAAATAAATAAAAAATATATATATATAAAATATACAAAAATTAGCTGGGTGTGGTGGCACGTGCCTGTAATCCCAGCGACTTGGGAGGTTAAGGTAGGAGAATCGCTTGAAGCCGGGAAGTGGAGGTTGCAGTGAGCCGAGACTGCACCACTGCACTTCAGCCTGAGTGACAGAGTGAGACTCCATCTCAAAAAAAAAAAAAATTATTGCATATTCTGCCTTAGCATATATACCAAATGCTACATTATCCAAAAAGAATGTTACTCTTCATTTCAAAGACTAAGAATAATAAATAATTTAAGGGCACTTTATTATCTAAGGACCTACCAGATGATAAAATTTATAGACTGAGTAAATTAATTTAGAGAAAATTAAAATAGAAAAAAAGTATCAAAATGTTATATCACTCAAGTAGTAAATCAGTGCTGCCAACCTTACATTGACCCAAGCATCCAACTGCATGGGGCTCTTACTAGTATATGCACGTGCATAAAGTACGTTGTCCAGTACTGCATCATGGTCTACATTGAAGCGATCAGCAATGTCCCGAAGGCGATCTGGACGGCTGGAGTATGCCAAGATTAAGGATCCAATAAATCAATTATAAAAAAGCTTAGACAACCACTACAAAACATAGTATCTTACATAAATTAACAGAGAAGCCAAACAATGTACCTGTGAAGGTATTCTAGAGGATGCTAGCAACCATTTAAAGTCTATACAAGATTTGTTTTTTCATAAGTGCCTCAACTTACCATAGGTAGTGATAATGGTCATAGAAATGTGGGGCAGTAATGAATTTAACTATTAAATGATCAAATCTTTACAATAACCTTGGAAGCTAGTTTTTATGGCCTATTTCACATTTTACAACATAGGACACTGGGAAACAGAGATTAGGCAAATGACTTGAGCTTATGCAGCAAATCGGTTACAAGAGAAAAACTGGAAACTAAGCTTTGTGAGTCTTTTTGTTCTCAGATCTACAATAGATAATAGACCTATAACAGATAATATCACTGAATTATAATTCAGTAACTGCAAAGTAGATTAATTCACTCTCTTCAAAACCCTCATTTGCTCAATATGAAATAGTTTACTATATCATTAATCACGTGTTATTAAATGATAAATGTGACTACATGAACCAAAGGGTCAAAAAGGTAACTTCAAGGGTCCAGAAGAGAAATATAGACCAAAGGTTTTTTTGTTTGCACAGGTTTTCTTTTTCTTTTCAAATCTTACTTGGAAAGTATACAGAGTTTAAAATCTACTTTCTTCTAAAGGAATTGTTAGCTTTTTTTTTTTTTTTGAGATGAAGTCTCACTCCGTTGCCCAGGCTGGAGTGCAGTAGCATGATGTCGGCTCACGGTAACCTCTGCCTCCTGGGTTCAAGCAATTCTCCTCCTTCAGTCTCCTGAGTAGCTGTGATTACAGGCGTAAGCCATCATATCTAGCTAATTTTTGTATTTTTAGTGGAGACGGGGTTTTGCCATGTTGGCCAGGCTGGTTTCGAACTCCTGACCTCAAGCGATCTGCCTGCCTCGGCCTTCCAAAGTGCTAGGATTACAGGCATGAGCCACCATGCCTAGCCAGGAGTTGTTAGCTTTCTGAAATTAGCAAATTCATAGGGAAGCAAACTAAGTGCACCTGCAAAGGTATTTTGGAAGAAGCTAATAATCACTTCTATCTATAAACTATAAAGGAGTAATAAACATTTTTTTTTAGGTCTTTGGTGATCCCAACAATATGTCTGAAGTAAAATGAGGTAAAATTAAATGCATGTTTGTGCCCTTATTTCACTTTGTTTATAGAGTTTACATAACACTGATCCTAGTATAAGTAACTGTAAATCAAGGACTATTTATAATCTTATTTGTGATGTTTGCAATTAATTTAATAACTGTTTAGTTGAATTGTCGTTAGGATTTCCCAGTCATTTATAGCCTAATGCACTAGATATGTTCTTGTTGTTAGAGCTTTGGTAACGGCCACAAAAATCTTCCATTGCTATTGAGTATACCCAGTAGATGTTTTTGGTGGACAAGTTAAAGACAGGGAATTGGAAGAGTCAATAAAAACATTTTCATCATGTCAGCTTCTACAAATCCCAGACACTATGTTGTGGCAGGCCAGGTCTTACTAATGCAGGCCTCCATAACAACTGTTTCAGCACTGACTGAGTGGTTAAGTTAAATACTAAAAGTTCAAAGTGCCCTTATACAAAGGCTGGAATGTAACAAAAGCCCACCAAGAGTTTGGCCCAGGCCTTTCCTGGGTCTTGAAGCATGACAAGTTAACGAAGGAATTCTTAACAGTACCTGTTTAGGATTAAACGAGTTTTACTGGGGGTCTGAAGAACTCCCCAGGTCTCCACAAACAAGTTATTGGGGGTCTGAAGGAACTCCCCAAACCTCCATGATTTAGCAGGAGACAAGATAAGGGCAATCACTCCAGCACCTGGACCCATTTAGATTAAGTAAATTTACTGAGGCTCCAGAGGAAGGTCTTTAGGATTCAGATCTTAGTTATAGATTAAAAGAAGTTAATCACTTATATCTTTTTTACAAATTTTATTTTATTTTTTTGAGATAGAGTCTCGCTCTGTTGCTCAGGCTGGAGTCTAGTGGCACAATCTCGGCTAACTGCAACCTCTGCCTCCCAGGTTCAAGTGATTCTCTTGCCTCAGCATCCTGACTAGCTGGGACTATAGGCGTGTGCCACAATGCCCGGCTTATTTTTGTATTTTTAGTAGAGACAAGGTTTCGCCATGTTGGCCAGGATGGTCTTCAACTCCTGACTTCAAGTGATCCGCCCACCTTGGCCTCCCAAAGTGACTTATGTCTTTAGATGAATGTACACTCACAAGTAAATATATAGCTGAGAAGGTATATAAGCTCGGGAAGACTTTGTAATTTTGAGTTGGTCTGATGTTATTTTCCAGGTCTTCTCCCTGTAAACAGTTACAGAAACAAAAACTCCCTCCTTTCCCAGTTCATCTGCATCTCATCATCGGGCCACAAGAATAAGCAGCCTGATCCTCGGTTTGGTCTGAGAACAATGTGAACAGGGGTATAAAAATTGGGCTTAAATCCTCAACAAAATACTAGCAAACCAATTCAACAATACATTAAACAGATCATTCATCATGACCAATTGGGATTCATCTCAGGGATGCAAAGATGGTTCAACATACACAAATCAATGTGATATATCATATCAACAGAATGGACAAAAAACATATGATCATTTCAATTGATGCTGAAAAAAGCATTTGATAAAATTCAACATTCCTTTATGATTAAAAAAAAAACCTCAAAAAATTGGGCATAGAGGGAACATAACTGAACATAAAAGCCATATACAAGAGACCCACAGCTAGTATCATACTGGATGGGAAAAAACTGAAAGTCTTTCCTCTAAGATCTGGAACAAGTATGCCCACTTTCACCACTGTTATTCAACATAGTACTTGAAGTCCTAGCTAGAGCAATCAGACAAGAGAAATAAATAAAGGGCATCCAGATCGAAAAGGAAGAAGTCAAATTATCCTTGTTTGCCTATAATAAGATCTTATATTTGGAAAAATCCAGACTTCACCAAAAAACTGTTAGAACTGATAAACAAATTTAGTAAAGTTGCAGGATACAAAATCAACATACAAAAATCATTAGAATTTCTAAATACCAACAGGGAACAATCTGAAAAAGAAATTTAAAAATTAATCCCATTTACAATAGCTATGAATAAAATTAAATACCTAGAAATTAACTTAACCAAAGAAGTGAAGGATCTCTACAATGAAAACTATAAAACATTGATGAAACAAATTGAAGAGGACACACAAAAACCAGAAAGATATTCCATGTTCATGAGTTGGAAGAATCAATACTGTTAAACTGTCCATACTACGCAAAGCAATCTACAGAGTCAATGCAATTCCTATCAAAATACCAATGACATTCTTCAGCGAAATAGAAAAACAATCCCAAAATTTATATGGAATCGCAAAAGACCCAGAATAGCCAAAGCTATCTTGAGCAAAAAGAACAAAACTAAAGGAATCACATAACTTGACTTCAAATTATACTATAGAGCTATAGTATCCAAAACAGCAAGGTATGGGCATAAAAACGGACACATAGACCAATGGAACAGAGGATAACACCCAGAAACAAATCCAAACACCTACAGTGAACTCATTTTCGACAAAGGTGCCAATAACATTGGAGAAAGGACAGTCTCTTCAGTAAATGGTGCTGGGAAAATGGGATATTCATATGCAGATGAATGAAATTAGACATCTATCTCTCATCATATACAAAAATCAAATAAAAATGGATTAAAGACTTAAATCTAAGACCTTGAACTACGAAACTACTAAAAGGAAGCATTGGGGAAACTCTATAGGACATTGGACTGGGTAAAGAAAGATTTCTTGAGTAATACTACACAAGCACAGGCAACTGTGGATATAAAAAATTCCTCTTGAAAGGTTTTAGCCTGTAAATTGTTAAGTACAATGAGCTTTGAGATCCTCTCCAAGGAACCGATGTATCAGTATGTTCAGCTCCCCTGTTCTTTGTTCTCCATTTTAAAGTTTAACTGCCTTGTTCTTCTTGCTTTCTTGCTCCTAGTTTCAGTAAACAACCTTTTCCACCAGTTCTAATCAGTAGTTCACATCAGTTCCCCTGGTCACCTGCTCTGTCCTGAGTCACCCCTGGTCACCTGCTCTGGCGTGAATCACCTTTAGTCACCTGTTCCTAACCATCCTTCCCGCCAAACTACTCACTCCACCACTCCGACTCATACCCCTGCTCTTTAGAATAGCCAATTGGGGCCGGGCATGGTGGCTCACGCCTGTAATCCCAGCACTTTGGGAGGCCGAGACGGGCGGATCACGAGGTCAGGAGATCGAGACCATCCTGGCTAACACAGTGAAACCCTGTCTCTACTAAAAATACAAAAATTAGCCGGGTGTGATGGCGGGCGCCTGTAGTCCCAGCTACACAGGAGGCTGAGGCAGGAGAATGGAGTGAACCCAGGAGGCAGAGCTTGCACTGAGTGGAGATCGTGCCACTGCACTCCAGCCTGGGCAACAGAGCGAGACTCCGTCTCAAAACAAAACAAAACAAAAAAACAATAGCCAATAGGAATTCGCTTAGACTGTGCAGTCCAATCTTAGCCAACAGGGGCATGACACAGCAGTAGGGGCTATCTGAGTCAGGAATAAAAACCCCTTCCCCTCCCTTGTTCAGGTGTGCTCTCACCATTGCTTCATCAGTGAGTCACACCCTTTTATAGAAGTAAAATTGCCTTGCTGAGAAAATATTTCCAAACTATCCATCTGACAAGGGATTAATAACCAGAATATATAAAAAGTTCAAACAACTCTCTATAGGGAAAAAAAATTTAATAATCTTATTTAAAAATGGGCAAAATATCTGAAAAGCATTTCTCAAAAGAAGTGTGAAAGGAAAATATCTTGGGTCCCCAAAATCACTAAGGAAAACTCAAACTGGAAACTGCTTATGGCAAACCTGCCTTTCATTCTATTCAAAGTCA